ACGTGTGGGGACGTGTTAGTCCCCACACGTCCACAAGTATTAGTGGAAACACTTTCCACTAATACTTTAGAGATAAATCCATCAGGGCAGAAAACTGTTCACTCTTTGGAGAAGCCTCAGACTCAGGTTGGTGACTGGATTCCCGCCGCAGTGAAGTCTAAACTCTAAATTATATTTTTTAATTGAACTGAAACTTCTGTGAACACAACATAAAGTTTAGTTTCCAGACGCGGCTCACGTTGAAGAGAATGAAGCGTTCAGTCACAATGACGTGTGTGTGTGTGTGTGTGTGTGTGTGTGTGTGTGTGTGTGTGTGTGTGTGTGTGTGTGTGTGTGTGTGTGTGTGTGTAAAGCGCTTTATAAAGTTTGATTGATTGATTGCCATATTTAGGCCAACCCATGCAGGACAACTTATACAGGCCAACCCACGCAGGCCAACCCACGCAGGCCAACCCATGCTTGCTGCCCTTGTTATTTAAATATTTGTGTAATTCATATCTACATATTCTTTGACCAACGCCATCGTAGCCAGGTTCTTTTGTTTTCTGAAGCCGTGATACGCAGATGATTGGCAGCATTGCAGATGTAGGACTTCAGACTCCTACCACTAGTTGGCAGTATTGAGAATTTGAGTTAAAGTTTATTGGGTTAAATCCATATAATATTATTACACATCACACTCACTAATGAAAAATGTGAAATACTGAGATTAAACACAGAATACTTCTTACTAGCTCGTTAGCGTGTTAGCTAATTGCACAGAAAAGGAACAGCTCGACTTTGAGCCTGTAAACAAATCATCTGAAAATAATGAGCGGCTCCTGTTGACATCAGTCTGCAGGAGCCAATTAAAGACAGGCCTGGTTATTTGTATAGCGCAGTTCATGCACGAGGCAATAGCATTAAAATCACCAACACAGAACATTAAAAATAAAATGCTTCAGTTTTACAGAAACAGAACTGTTTTAACCTGGATTTAAACATTGTCAGAGAAGAAGAAGTCTGTCTCACATTTTCAGGAAGATTGTTCCAGGTTGTTACTGATCGATGACACAAGTGGACAGTGTTGGGAGTAACAGAATACTCTGAATAACTATTCCTTTACAGTTACTTATATTATATTAGAGTACACAATGGCTGAAAACCAGTCACACATAGTTTATTTATTTAGCACATTTTACAGACCAAGGCCACAAAAAGGTCTTTCAAAAGTTCAGAAATCAGACGCGGTGAAGTCAGAAGCGAGACGCCGAACACACTGGTCCATCAAAGCCTCCGACCAAACACCATTCAGACCTATGGTACTTGTTTTAGAGGTAGGAGAACCAGGAATACACGAGGAAACCTACACAGACACGGGGAGAACAAGCAAACTCCACTCAGAAAGACCCGATTCTGACCGGGACTCAAACCCAGGACCTTCTTGCTGAGAAGCTAGAGAGCTAACCACTCACACTAAGTATTCGGAATACAGTTACTATTTCTTCCAAAGTAACGGAATACTATAATATATTTATATACACACTATACTACACTATACAAAACATGTATTCAGTATTGTGTAATGGAACACAAAAGTACAAAAAGTATTTTACACATCACAGCGAGTGGAGCAGAAGTCTCAGTTTCAGACGAGAGCAAACCATGTGGCATGAAAACCATGTGGCGTGAAAACCATGTGGCGTGAAAACCATGTGGCGTGAAAACCTGTTGTGGACCATGACGGCCACAGAGTGTTACGCCATCTTCGTAATTTTCAAACATATACGTTTCCTAAAGACCAGGGACAGTACAGACGGACGATGCTAACATGCTAGCTCAACAAACAAGCGAGAATTACTCATTAACAAAGTTTTGTTCAAACTCTCTGATCCCGGTGTTAATATTGTTTTTGTGAATCTGGATGAGAGCCTTCTAAGGACTGACCAATCAGATGTCTTCATTCACAGGGAAAACTCTGTAGCAACCATGTTAGCAACAAGCTTGCTAACGCGCAAAGCTAGCGTCGTCGGAGATGCTTAGGTTCAAACAGATACAAATTACCGCTAACACAAAGATATTTAATTAAAACAATGTATTTCCGGCCACATTTGGGATCAGGAAAACTAATATTCTACTGACTCACAGGCCTCCTTCTTCCAAGTTTATAAAATAAAGAAGTTGTCTAATGAGTTTTGTTCTTTTCACATTTATCATTTCTATTTGGACAAAAAATATTGATGTATGAAACAAAAACACGTTTGGTTCAGTCTTTCAGTGAAAAGTTCAAATCCACTACTCCTTTGTTCTTTGAAAACTAGATTTTTCGGTTTCTCTCAAACCAAAGCAGGACATTCCTAGTTTAAGATGATCAGATTATTTATGCGAGGGGAAGAGTTGCATTAGTTCTGAAATGGTTATGAATTTAGAAATGGGATCCACAAATACCAACATCTGCTTTCCTGTTTTTGTTAATTTATGTTCATGAGAAACCTGATTACCCTGGTTCTAGTCCAAGGACGTTAAAGTCTGTCCTCAAAGGGACTGTGTGGCTGCAGGACTTCATTCCAACCAAGCAGGAGCACGCCAGACTCGCACATTTCTACAAGTGAGTCCATAACTTAGCCTGGTCTTACCACACCATGGTACTCATTTCATTTGTACTAAGGTCTGGATGTGCTCCATTGACTCTATTAACAGGTGGGAGGGGCTAACTCCTTTTGCAGATTGAAACCATTGGATCTGAGTTTAACCTGGTTTAACCTGGAGAACCTGGTGCTAAATCACTTGCAGACGACCTGATTCTGGGTCAGGGTTTCGTACGTAGCAGAGCAGCTCCTTCGCTGCGATCTATTGAAAGTCAGCCCTTGATCCAAGCTTTTGTTCGGGCGACAGTAGCTCAGTTGGTAGAGCATTGGCCTTAAGGCCAGAAGGTCGTGGGTTCAATTACCACCTCTGCACCTTCTCCACCGACTCCCACTGATGACTGCTGTTGTTGTGTCCTTGGGCAAGACACTTAACCCCACTTTGCCCAAAGCCCCCACTGAAAGATCAAGGCTATGCTCAGTCAGAGAGCAGCCGTCCTCCTGTGGACTCACCACCTGCAGAGGGTCAGTGAGGGGCTGGTGCTATGAGACTTGGGTGGCATCTCTGACTGCCACCCCCCTGACCCAGAAATGGATTAAAGGGTAGAAAATGGATGGATGGATGGATGGATCTGAGTTTATTATTTAGCCTAGCTTTAGCATTTAGCCTAGCTTTAGCATGTCGCCTAGCTTTAGCCATCTCCTTTGCCACTAACGGAGCCCGTGGGGAGTAGAGCCACAACATCTTTGCTTCAATGACATTTACTAAACATTCCTCTTGCTCCGGCTTCAGTTTCTTCATATTTGGATTGAACCAGAACAGATTATTTTACTATCACAGTCTCCATGGTCCAGAGTTTACACATGGTAAGACCAGACGTACATGTAGGAGATGATCATGGACCAGAGTTTACACATGGTAAGACCAGACGTACATGTAGGAAATGATCATGGACCAGAGTTTACACATGGTATGACCAGACGTACATGTAGGAGATGATCATGGACCAGAGTTTCCACATGGTAAGACCAGACGTACATGTAGGAGATGATCATGGACCAGAGTTTCCACATGGTAAGACCAGACGTACATGTAGGAGATGATCATGGACCAGAGTTTACACATGGTAAGACCAGACGTACATGTTGGAAATGATCATGGACCAGAGTTTACACATGGTAAGACCAGACGTACATGTTGGAAATGATCATGGACCAGAGTTTACACATGGTCATGTATAGAGAGACTTAACAGACGTCTGCTGTGATCATCTATTGTCTGCTTGTGCACCCGCAGCTCAGAAAATAAACAGTCTCAAAAACTGTGAAGAGTCCATTTTGATTAAAGCTGAAGTACCGAACTTTAACTTTGAAACCACAAAAGAACAAGAGTTTGGTTCCAGCTTGATTTGTCACATGTACTTTTCGACTTGGTCACAGACAAAGGACCTTCCCAATAAAGCAAAAAATATGGTATTTACAGGATATTTTGGTCTTTTCTGGACTTTTCACAGATTGAGCAACAAACTGACTTATCAATATTTATGGCCAGAGGTCTCTTGTGTTTGAACAGTTTGATTCTCTGATCTGTGTTGGTGAATTTGACAGTTTTGTCAAGTCCGCTGCGATAACTGCTGTTGTGATTCAGGGCTGTACACAAATACATTGAATTGAAAGTATTTATGAACCAAAACAAAGCAATTCAGCTTTGAAATGAGGAGTATTCCCTTGATTTAAGAGACTACTTTCACCATGGCTTCAATTTCAGATAAAATTCAGTCATTATAAGAGCCCAGCCCTGGATTAAAGGAGCAGTGTGTAAACATGTGGCCAAAAGTGGTACTGCAGCCTCTCCCACTCTCCCTGACTCAGGTTGCCAGATATGCAGATGAATCCAGCTGGGACCATAACAGCTGAATAGACAAGAGTTTTGTCAACAACAAATCTATAACCAACACCTTTTTCACAAAGATAGAAATCCTGCTTTTATTCCTTGTTTTGTCGTTAATGATTTGAGAATCATAACGAGACCTTTTTTAGTTCTGCGCCACATGGTACTTTACCAGTGAGATTAGCTCCACGCGGTGAGTTCTGGCGTCGGGATCACAGACTTTCTGATTGGTGAAACGGTGGAGGGCGGGACATCGAAATGAAAACAATAACAAGATTTAGGGGCTGGAAAAGTAATTTAGAAATTCAAATATCTCTGAACGACTGTTATCAGTTAAAGAAGGATTATTATAACAGATTAGGGCCCTTTAAAGATGACAGATTAGAGCCCTTGAAAGATGACAGATTAGGGCCCTTTAAAGATGACAGATTAGAGCCCTTTAAAGATGACAGATTAGAGCCCTTTAAAGATGACTTGACATGACAGTCTTACATATTGCCACTTAAACTATGGTGTTAAAAACAGGTTAAAGGCGTGGCACTGACCTACGTGTCGCAGTGGGACAGCAGTGTAGTGATTTCGGGGCTCATGTATCCCACGGCCTTGGCTGCCTCCAGGATGGCCCGGCGATACATGCCCTTCTTCTTCCGGTTAAAGCGAGACCTGAAAAACTCTCTGAACGGCGACAATTTGGCAACGGACAGCTGCGACGTGGTGGGCGAGCCGAACCACGACACTTTTGCTTGAGGCCACTGCGCTTCACAAGTGGCCGTTTCCTGTTTGTGCGTCCCACTAATGCTAAGCACGCGAGCCGGCCACCAGGGGAAGCCGTGGATCTTTCCCCAAACAATGTCTCCCACGGCAACGGCGTGTCCTTCCTCTGTGACGCACTTGGTCATGCTGCGTGTGTGCAGGCGGACCGTGAGCGGCGGGACCGTCTTGCACCCGTCCCGCGTCGGAACAGAAGAAGTGACCGAGAGATCCTCCCCCGGGGCAAGATCGCAAAGTTCTGGGGAGGTTCCTTCTGAGCTAAAAGACTTGGCCTCATCTAGACTGTCGCTACTGCACACGGACAAACTGGACGAATCCGCTTTACGCTTACGGAAATTTATCAAAAGAGTCAAATCGTTGTGTCCTCTATCGCCCTCCTCCCCGGAACTCCCAGACCACAGCTCCAGCGAGTTCTTGCCCTCTCCGGAGTCCTCTGAGTGGGGCAAACACGAGCCGCTAGTGGCCTGCGTTTTCATTGTCCCGTCCACTATCGCCGCTTCGTATTCCACCACGCCGTCTTCGCCTTCCCTCTGCGGAGGTCTCAAACGTATTTTTGGAGAAGGCAAATCCTGGCCCACGGTGGTGTAGGGCCGGGTTAGCTTCAGTTTAGGAATGGACACAGTTAGGCCTGATCGAGTGGCGTCTAAAATATGCCTCTGCTCCTTGGTTGTTAGCACTTTCCCGTTTTCGCCTCCCAGTCCGTTCGGAACGAGTTGCTTGGGACAGAAAGGCTTGACGGACCCATGCACCCTCGACGGGATCTTCATGACCTCGCCCTTTCCTTGAGGAGTGCTGTATGATATCTTTATAACAGGACTATGTGGGATAATGTCACTATTTGGGAACTTTTCCGTTTCCGGTTCGGCCCTTTTGTCCCTTCTTAGCCTTTTGCTTTCGAGTGTTGCGCCATTTTCTCGTCTTCTAGTGTCCTTGTTCCCCACTACCTCCTCTTTTCTAGCTAGCTTTGAGGCTAGCTCCTTCTCTTCCGCATCTTCGTCGCTCTGTAGTGCATTTTCCTTCCGGGATGACTTGTTGCTAACCCCGTCCTTGCTATCTTCGTCGCTGTTATTTACACTATTCTTACACTTTTCACACAGCACCTGTCGGGGACGCAGACGTATCGTGCTCATGGTCATTCGCCCCGGTTCCCTCCCTCGCCTCCTCTTGCGTTTCATTGGCCGAGGAGGAGGTTGCGGGACCCATTGGCTGTAGCTGTGCCGAACCCATAGAGGCTGAGGAAAAGGTGCTCCTTCAAAATAAGGAGGGTAAGGAGGCTGTCCCGCTGGCACTGGAGTGGGAACCGGGACCAGGGCACATGCTGGGTCGTTGTCCGGGATGGAGTTCTCGTCCTTTGGTCTTTGATCTGAATCTTGGCTCGGAGACTTGGAAACAGGCTCCTCAGAAGAGCCCAGTACCTCTGCCACGTCACACACTGGTTTGGAAAGAGAGTAGTCCCCGTTTTTGGTGACGTCTGGGACACAGAAGAGGCCAGTCCTAGAAAAAAAAAGGGGGAAAAACATTACTTACATAACCTTTAGAAAATACTTCAAAAGGACGGTCAACATTATTTGAATTAATTACGAAACAATCAAGTGTTTTTCATTAGTAAAAGAGATTATCATGTCTGTTTGACCTTTTGGCCAACATACAAAGTATAAAAGGGAGCAAACTGGTATGACAAAGAATATTTATGACCAACAGAGACGTACAGGATGAAGCCAGACAGGTGCACTTTGGTTGTGGGTAAATTCCTTATTGCAAAATAGAACTGTGAGCTTGGAACACACACTGACAAAAACTCCAAGGCACTCTGACAGTAAAGTTAAAAAGCCTTCATTTAAACATGGCTGAATTAAAAATGCAGTAATGGGTTTCAGCAACTTGCCTTCCTCGGGGCGCATGCTATTTATGACCTGTTGTTTTATTTATCAGAAAAAACACAATGATCACAAAGGGAAAGTGTGTAGATGTCTTGATAGTGTTAGAACAGCCTTTTAAATCAGGATGAGTGAAGCAAACAAAAGCATTTATTATAATTTCTTTGTGTTAAAGCTAGTAGCTGAGAATGCATTTGCAAATACCCCACTCTGACTCTCGTGGCTCATGTTACTGTTGGTACCGAGATGTAACCTGCTCTCAGGACATTTGAGGCCTAATCTAAGCACGTTTTATAAGCACACTTGCCTGGCCGTGTGCTTTTTACAGCCTTTCCAATATAAAGCCTTCACACAGTAAAAGCCGAGCCGTAATGACGCATTCTGTTTGGCAGTGACTGGACGCCCAGACGCCCATCTCCCTGTCACCTGTATGCTGAAATTCTTCCTTGGTGGTGGGGGTTGGGGACTGAGCAGCCAGCATTCATCTGTCCCACTGCTGCCTCAGGCCTCAGGCTCTGGGTTTGAGTGATTTTGCATGTATTTTTTGCAGAGTGACATTTGCAAACAGGTCTGTAGAAAACCCAGGAGTGCAGCAGTAACATGGCCGAGTGGCTTCAGCCAGAGCAGACAAAGAGACTACAGGATGCCCCCCTCCCTCCTCAACATCTGACTGAACAAAAACAATCCCATGAATCACTCGGGATTCGGAGGTTAGGCAGGAGCCAGGGGATTTGAGTTTGTTTTTGCATCCGTGCCTTCATTGGGCTTATGTGCAGGGAGATTATTAATTAGTGCACATTTGGGGCGGTTGTGTTGCTCCCCAGGAGGAGTAGTTGGCAAGCGCCTGTCCATAATGGTCTCTGGTGGTGAGGCCTGTTCCTCTCACCTTTTCGGTTGTTCAGGCCAGAATCCGCCCGCGCAATGACTGACACCATTCTGTTTGTGAAGAACAGGCCGTGCTCACGAAACACAAGGACAGCACGTCTGAGTGCCATGATTCAACGCTGTGCTGGCAGCCCACACTGTGGACAGTGTAACTAGATGCGCCTGAATGATAAGCGCATGATGAGATTAGAAAACCTGAGTTACAGTTAGACAAGGACAGGAAATTAATTGGAAAGAGAACAAAAAGGATAAAGTAGATTTGACAGCAGCGAGGCCTGAAATACAGGCCTATTTTAGAGTTATTTGAGGCCTGCGCTTTCCCATTTGGGTGGGTTATTTTCAGGACAGCCTCAGCTCTCAAATGAAAAATCATCTCAGCAGACTGAGGGCAAAGCTGGTCAGATTCTGAATATACAGAGCTATTAATAAGCTAAAGCCAGAGGCTGTAAAGGTGCACAGTGTTAGATCAACACAAGGCTTCACATGTGACACTGCACAGAGGTGTTTAATGCTGTTACTCTACAACATCATGACAAACAGATTCTAACTTCTTCAAAGGGATGATACAGATGAAAGGATCCATAGTAACCACTCTCCATTGTCTCAGAGGGAACTCACTGAGTATCAGGAACAATAATGGATCAATGTTTAACACACAGTGTATAATAAAGATTTACTGATGTTAGTGAATAAATCATAATTATATTTCAGGCCTTTTCTCTTCAGCTGCTCTTTGATGATGCTAACAATAAGCTACAGCTGAACCAGTGGCATTAGCTGTTGTTCTTTACAAGTCACTTCTGATCAAAAAGGGACGTGTTGAGTTTCCACAGAGGTGATAAACACGGACTAAAACAAACACAATCCCTGCTTTTCTCTCCTTATAATCCCATAGATAAGCATTAGCCAGTTAGCTCGTAGCCACAGCTACAATAGCTGCACTGTGTAAATGACGGAGGCCTGTTAGCTTTCACTTAGCATCTAAGCTAAGCTAGCTGTTAGCATTAGCACGCGTTAGCATGTGATTCTTTAATCACATAAAATGATAAAAATACTAAATAAAACCTACTTCTTGTTGCAGTCCAGTAATATCCCGGTGAAGCTCTTCTCTCTGAAGCTCAGAGTCACCACCAAAGTGTCGTTAATGATCTGATCGATGGTGACGGGGATCCGAGAGCCGGCCTGCAGCTCCGCGGCCGCAGCCTCCATGTTTCCAGGGGAAAGGAATCCGACAGCGCGGTGCTCTAGCCCGGCCAAGGGAGCCACGGTCGCCTCGGCCCAAGATCCGTCTCCACTTCGCAATCGGAGCAGGAGGCTACAGCAGGGCATGAAGTGACGCCATCACCCCCAGCACGTCCATTACAACAGCGCTGCCACCGCTGACATCACGCTGCTCATGGAGCCAGAGGACATGGAGCCAGAGGAGGCCTTCCTCCTGCTGCTGCTGCTGCTGCTGCTGATGCTGCTGCTGATGCTGCTACTGCTGCTGCTGCTGCTGCTGCTGCTGCTGCTGCTGCTGCTACTGCTGCTGATGCTGCTACTGCTGCTGATGCTGCTGCTGCTGCTGCTGCTGCTGCTGCTGCTGCTGCTACTGCTGCTGATGCTGCTGCTGCTGCTGCTGCTGCTGCTGCTGCTGCTGCTGCTGCTGCTGCTGCTGCTGATGCTGCTACTGCTGCTGCTGCTGCTGCTGCTGCTGCTGCTGCTGCTGCTGCTGCTGCTGCTGCTGCTGCTGCTGCTGCTGCTACTGCTGCTGCTGCTGCTGATGCTGCTGCTGCTGCTGCTGCTGCTGATACTGCTGCTGCTGCTGCTGCTGCTGCTGCTGCTGCTGATACTGCTGCTGCTGCTGCTGCTGCTGCTGCTGCTGCTGCACACTACAGGGCTGCTCCAGGGCTGCTGAGAGCTGCTGAGAGCTGCTGAGAGCTGCTACACAGCCAGCTTAGACCAATGCAGCCATGTTTACCAGAGCTCCCAGAGAGGATGCTTTCTTCTGTGGATCCATAAGAGAATGATAATGACACACTGTGGGACTCAACAAAGGAGCAGTTGAACTGTGCCTTGGATTCTTACTATTCACACTATTATTAAGATAGAACATTATTCTGACACATTAAATGCTTTTTCAACATTCAACCAGTATCCATGACCATTCTTATCCATCAAGTCACCAAAGAAATGTTGAAAGGCAGAGTCCATGAACTGAAACCGCCCAAATCAAGGCCAAAAAGCAAAGGTATTTCAGAGTATCCCTTTTCACAAAGCACATCGAGAGGTGGATTCACTCAAAAGAACAAGTGGAACATTATGGATTGATTGGATCAAAAGTCCTGGAACAAAATCATATGGCACAACCGTCTTCCTCTGGTTCACCTTTAAATCACCTCTGTGCAGAAGCACGGGTGGAAATGAGCACTTTTCTTTCCTTTCTCTGTAAATGTAACATTGTGCAGTGTCTCTGTAAAACTAAAGACAGAGCACATAATAAAAAGGTATTATATTATTATAAAACCTGTTTAGATGCACCTTTAAAGCCTATATAACATGTTGAAAGTGAAGAGTAAATAGTCTGAATGTTATTAAAATGACTTATGAGGTGGATTCCTTTACATGTGGCTTCTGGATACACACTGTTTAATAACACATTTATTTTAATTAGATCTTCACAGGTTAGAAACACAACTGGGATAATCCTACATTTCCACATCTAGGACCAATAATCCTGAGAAATGATGAAATGAAATAAAACAATACATTACAATAAACACATTTGGTTTGGTTTCCTCCAAAGATACGGTGTAGGTGTAATGTCTGTGATTATAATCCATCACATTTGGTGACCAAGACGAGCCACAGTTTTTAGTTTTATTTTCCTTTTCTCTCATGTCTTTTTCTGTCTGGCGTGCGCAGAGTAAAGTGCAAACCCTCTTCCTCGTTTCACGTCGAGCAGTTGAGCCTGTAACCTCCTTATCTGTCAATCAAAAAGCAAACACATGTTCAGAATGACTGGAATATGTCCTTTTTCATCCTGGGTCGGACCTCTTTCACGTCTCTGTCCGCGGGGCCGAACAGCTCCTGACTGGAGGCGGCGGGGTCCCTGCGTCGCTCCTCCATCCTCTGGACCACAGCGTACATCTTCTGCTGCAGCTTTTTGACAGCCCTGGGGGGTACAGGGTCAGAGGTCACACTCGGGGGCTCAATGTGCATGAATAAAAGGGTCGTTATTGCAGAAGGAGGAGATAATAAATGTGCGTGTGGTATTGATTTGTGTATTGATATGTTTAAACATTCTGTCACAACATTCACGGCCAGATGGAGATGAGCTCGTCCTGATTACTAAACAGTCGAGCCGATACTCGAGTACTGACTAATAACAACGATAAATCTGATGATGGTGGGTCATCTCTGTAGCTAATCACTGTTTAATGGATAATAATCAGGTCGCACATGGATGAAGGTGTAACGCAGAGCCATCTCCAGCTTCTTTCTCGTGTTTGCTTTGGTCGTTTGGGATCAACATCAGTTTGTTATGGCTTTAACCGTCCTGCTTTGTCAAAACAGCTTCATTCTATAAGAACAAAGAGTGCTGTGGGTAGATGCACTTGCACAGACTGACCACTAGTTGGCTCTAAAGATCCCCTTTTCAGTGTGAGAAGCCCAGTGTGTGTATCAGCTCTGAGGGGACATGTCAAACCTGCAGAACAATATTTACCATGTATTTACACTATTACAGATTTGAAAAGGGGTTGGATGAAGCAGAAGACCCCCTCTTACCCATTCTAGACAATCATACACAGAATACAGTACAATAAACAACATAGAATACATTTATGACACTGTGCAGTACAGTAATATATACAAGTTTATGAGACACACAGGCACACACATACATACACACACACACACCCCCCCCCCCCACACACACACACACACAAACACACACACACACAAACACACGCATACACACACACACACATACACACACAAACACACACACACACACACACACACAAACACACACACACACACACATACACACAAACACACACACACACATACACATATACATACACACACACACGCATACACACAAACACACCTACACACACACACACACACACACCTACACACACACACACACACACACACCTACACACAAACACGCATACACACACACACACACACGCATACACATGTACATACACACACACACACACACACAAGCATACACACATACATACACACACACACAAACACGCATACACACCCACACACACACACACACACGCATACACACAAACACACACACATACACATACACACCCACACATACACATATATACACACACACACATACACATACACACACACACATACACATATACACACACACACACACACACACACACACACACACACACACAGGCAAACACACATCATTATCTTCCTGCTGCTTTCCGTGGCCACAGCTGCCCTGGGTCTGACCTACTGAAGTAAAACCACCAATCGAAGCCACTTCCTGTGTGCGTTGCCCATGGACACAATAGCAGTGCACTGGTTGGAACTGGGCCTGACCCTTAGGCCTTCATCACGGTGACAACCCTAACAGCAGACGGAGTGCTTCTTGGACGTGGAAAAGTAGGCGTATTTTTACCTTCTTGCCGTGTTAAATAAAGGAAAGTCACAGTACGCTGAGATCATCAAAATGTCCGATTCCATTAAATTCTAATATTTACTCATTTCTTTGCATTTGGTACATTCTGGATTTGGCGTTTTACCTGCTCTCCTCGTAGTCCACGCTGCTGTGGGCCTGATGCGGACCTGCATCACTGCTGTTCCCTGCTGCTTCCTGTTGATTCATTCACACAGACGTCATTAAAACAGAACAAGTTTATATGTATGGCACAGTTCATACACAGCTCAAAGGGCTCAACAATACACTATGGAAACACACATCACACAATCAACATTTTCAGGAAGATTGCTCCCGATTTTAGCTCCATAGATCTATAAGAGTCCCCTGTTTAGTCCTAAGTCTGAGTCCCAGCAGGAGTCCAGTCCCTGTGCTCCTCAGAGTCCCAGCAGGAGGCCAGTCCCTGTGCTCCTCAGAGTCCCAGCAGGAGGCCAGTCCCTGTGCTCCTCAGAGTCCCAGCAGGAGTCCAGTCCCTGTGCTCCTCAGAGTCCCAGCAGGAGGCCAGTCCCTGTGCTCCTCAGAGTCCCAGCAGGAGGCCAGTCCCTGTGCTCCTCAGAGTCCCAGCAGGAGTCCAGTCCCTGTGCTCCTCAGAGTCCCAGCAGGAGTCCAGTCCCTGTGCTCCTCAGAGTCCCAGCAGGAGTCCAGTCCCTGTGCTCCTCAGAGTCCCAGTAGGAGGCCAGTCCCTGTGCTCCTCAGAGTCCCAGCAGGAGGCCAGTCCCTGTGCTCCTCAGAGTCCCAGCAGGAGGCCAGTCCCTGTGCTCCTCAGAGTCCCAGCAGGAGGCCGGTCCCTGTGCTCCTCAGAGTCCCAGCAGGAGTCCAGTCCCTGTGCTCCTCAGAGTCCCAGCAGGAGGCCGGTCCCTGTGCTCCTCAGAGTCCCAGCAGGAGGCCAGTCCCTGTGCTCCTCAGAGTCCCAGCAGGAGGCCAGTCAGAGACCTGAGACCAGGACTAATGCCATGGTACTTCCTGGTTCTAGTCTGGACTAATGCCATGCTACTTCCTGGTTCTAGTCTGGACTAATGCCATGCTACTTCCTGGTTCTAGTCAGGACTAATGCCATGATACTTCCTGGTTCTAGTCAGGACTAATGCCATGGTACTTCCTGGTTCTAGTCAGGACTAATGCCATGATACTTCCTGGTTCTAGTCTGGACTAATGCCATGATACTTCCTGGTTCTAGTCAGGACTAATGCCATGGTACTTCCTGGTTCTAGTCAGGACTAATGCCATGATACTTCCTGGTTCTAGTCAGGACTAATGCCATGATACTTCCTGGTTCTAGTCAGGACTAATGCCATGGTACTTCCTGGTTCTAGTCAGGACTAATGCCATGGTACTTCCTGGTTCTAGTCAGGACTAATGCCATGGTACTTCCTGGTTCTAGTCAGGACTAATGCCATGATACTTCCTGGTTCTAGTCAGGACTAATGCCATGGTACTTCCTGGTTCTAGTCAGGACTAATGCCATGATACTTCCTGGTTCTAGTCTGGACTAATGCCATGATACTTCCTGGTTCTAGTCTGGACTCGGCCGGTCTCCTCGTTTGTTGAGTTCCCCAAACACACTGGATCAGTCCCCAGCGAGCCACAGATGTTGAGAATATTTCACTTTCTGCTGAACTCTTGTAAATGTTAGTGACAGAGAAAGTGTTGAGCCTGAGCCGTGTCAGCTGTGATAACAGAGCGTGGCGGCGGCGGCTGTGGTTTGCATGATTTACTTGGATCAGTTTTTCTATTAAACTGCACATTTCCCAGAACGAGGCGTCTCAGCTTGTTCCTCGGGTTTTAGATTAGATTTTCAAATGGTTCAAGACATCGCTGAGACTATTTGTACTTTACTGTTGCAATAAAACGGTAGAAGAACAGGATTTAAACCTTTAAACCTTTAAACATTTGGATTTTCCTGAAATTCTACTCGACTAAATTCTGTTTACTGGAAAATAAACACTCACACTAATACTAACCTAAATGATACATACACTGATATTTAGACATTTAGTTCATCATCCACAAGACTGATCAAGGCCTTAAACTAAAACTAGTTCATTGTCCATATTTCAGCCCATGCTTGGTGCTTGTTGTGTCTATTTTACCACTTGTTTTTAAGTCAGAATTGCTGATTAAAGCTGGGGCACCTGACTTTCAAACCACACACAATGGAACCATGTCAGAAGTTCCTGACTCTCGAATCAGTTTTGTTTTATCACATGTTTTATTGGACTCTGCTACATCTTTAAATCTGTGTTTTCAGTCATAAAAGTGAAAAAGAGAAGACCAGCCTCACTCAGCCTAAAAGAGTCAAATAGTGACTCACATGGTTCTTTCTGATGTATGCAAGAAAGAACCATGTGAGCCAGGAATGGATTAAGAAGATGGATGTTGTTGGTCTGATATGTTCATGTAATAGTTATGAAATAAGGAAATGGAGGTTCCTCAGCTTTAACCTTTGTAATCTACACAAAGACATTCCACAGGATTGAGGTGAAACATGACCAGAAACAAAGCCATGAAAGCAGAACAATGATTATATAAACATGTGTGAATCCAAATCTAACTGTAGGTAAATAAATGGCATTATCTGTACATTTCTCCATCGATTTAATCTTATTATAATGAGGTTAAATCGTCAGAAAACAACATATGCTGCATGAATTACTCTAGTTTTGGAAATACATCTGTATATTTGCCATTTTCAGCAAAACCACATTGAAATACATTGAAATACATTGAAATACATGTGCCAAAGTCCCCAGTGTGCACCAGTGAATCAGTCTATAAACTATATATTATCATTATTATTGGAAGAAAGCTGTTGTCTTTCATTTGTAGCGATGGTTCTTGTTGAAATAAAATCCAGAAAGGAGAGGAACATTTATCTCCTGTTTCTCCTTTAGCAAACGTTTCCATAAATGTGTCATTATGATCAAGACGAACCCTCAGAGGCCTCTACAGCTCCAGCCTCTGTCACTCCCATGTCGAACACCCTCAGCCCACATTGTGTCTGTGACTGGTGCAGTGGCGCCCTCTGGTGGTGAGCGGTGGTTTCACACACTTCAGTACCTCTGCGTGTCTCTGGCGTCCGGGCCTCTTCCCGCGGGGTCCTGTGAGCTGAGGGTTCTTGGCTCGAGTCCTCCAGTTATGCAGCTCTTCCTGGTTTCTACACAACGAAACAAAAACAAAGTAAAAAGTCTGTTTCAGATCAGCTCCAAAGACAATGGTGCCTCTGGGGTTTGTGAGTGGAAAGCTGCTCTGGTTTGTGAACACTGCTTTTTCTTTGGCCAGAACTTTTACAATGAAAATAAAAAAAAACAATTCCAAAGACAATTCATAATTGGTTTAGTGTTGTAAACCAGGCTGACAAAGCAACACTGTGTTTCTATGACACTAACCCCTGATCTGGACAGGGTGTTTTCTGTTTCAATACAACATGTTTTCCTTTCATTTGAACAACTAGTCACTTTAACAATGGCCTGTACTTGTTTACATGACTTTGAGATAGTAAAATAAAAACATATACATTGATGTTACAGAGCGCAGAACGCTCTCATTTATCTTTTTTGAGTACAATATTTGAGTACAATATTTCTTCAGTGCAGATTCTGTCTAATGGCAAGGTCACAACTTCAGATTGAAAAAGAAAATGTCATTAGTGACTCGGTAACTCCAGGTTTTAATAGACTGATATCACTGCAGTCCTTTTCAAACAGGCCTCTGTGCTATGACAGTGTAATTACACGTCCACGACAGCAGGTGGCGCCTCAAAACAAAGTATATCCTTATTCTTTGTTGCAGCTTGATCCATACTTTGGTTTCATTCATGCCAATCATATGATGGTTTACAGCTGCAATGGAGAGTGTGTGTGTGTGTGTGTGTGTATGTGTGTGTCTGTGTGTGTGTGTGTGTGTGTGTGTGTGTGTGTGTGTGTGTGTGTGTGTGTGTGTGTGTGTGTGTGTGTGCGTGTCTGTGTGTGGGTGTGTGTGTCTGGGTGTGTGTGTGTCTCTGTGTGTGTGTATGTGTGTGTCTGTGTGTGTGTGTGTATATGACGCATTGGGTGGAGAGCAACTTTCTCTGTTCATAAAACCATATGTGATGAATAAATGCATCGTTACATTTGTAGAATTGTTTAGTCCTGTTCTAGTCGTGTTTAGTCCTGTTCTAGTCCTGTTCTAGTCCTGTTCTAGTCCTGTTCTAGTCCTGTTCTAGTCCTGTTCTAGTCGTGCTCTAGTCTTGTTCTAGTCTTGTTCTAGTCTTGTTCTAGTCCTGTTCTAGTCTTGTTCTAGTCCTGTTCTAGTCCTGTTCTAGTCCTGTTCTAGTCCTGTTCTAGTCGTGCTCTAGTCTTGTTCTAGTCTTGTTCTAGTCTTGTTCTAGTCCTGTTCTAGTCCTGTTCTAGTCCTGTTCTAGTCCTGTTCTAGTCTTGTTCTAGTCCTGTTCTAGTCCTGTTCTAGTCTTGTTCTAGTCCTGTTCTAGTCCTGTTCTAGTCCTGTTCTAGTCCTGTTCTAGTCTTGTTCTAGTCCTGTTCTAGTCCTGTTCTAGTCCTGTTCTAGTCCTGTTGTAGTCCTGTTGTAGTCCTGTTGTAGTCCTGTTCTAGTCTTGTTCTAGTCCTGTTCTAGTCCTGTTCTAGTCCTGTTCTAGTCCTGTTGTAGTCCTGTTGTAGTCCTGTTGTAGTCCTGTTCTAGTCCTGTTCTAGTCCTGTTCTAGTCCTGTTCTAGTCCTGTTGTAGTCCTGTTCTAGTCCTTCTCTGGGTCCAGTCTTGTGTGTGAAACTGTGATAGATGTGATTCTGAATGTAGAGCAGGTGTTTCTTGTGGCGTACACACTTCCTCCTCTGCTCCAGGACGGCCTCCTTCTCCCTCAGCTCCCGCAGCGCCTCCTGACGTCTCTCCTCTGGACTGTTCCACGGAGGAGCCCTGACCTGCAGAGGAGCTGCGATGGTCCGGGGCGCCTTCTTCCTAGATAATAAATTGAAACAAAATGGTTTCTTTTTATTGGCTCCTTGAGTGCAGAGGCAGCAGGTCTCTTCCCCAGCCTCAGCACAGAGACATTATCCTGTGTTACACAGCTGTAAATAAAACCCCTTTGAATCTCGGACACTAAAAATAATAGATTCAATGTCTGCCAACACGGCCACAGAGAAGTCTATTTAGGAGAAAGACAGTACTTGAGACGAGATTTAAACTGCACTCCAAAGCTATTAGTCCCTGCACTAAAGTAAATATACTTTGGTCTGTGCCTGAATGGGAAACGATCGATCTATACGTGATCAATAACTTTGAACTGTTTACAAAGCTAGGCATTAGATTCACATGGTCCTTTATTGTCAATGTCATATAAAACTTTCACAGTGGTGATAAACTACTACTGTAGCCACCGCTGCCCTGAGGCACACTGACAGAAGTGAGGCAACCAGTCTGTGCCATGGGCCCCTCTGCCCTCGACCAGACTCATTCTGATGTGGGGGAAGTGTCTTGCCTAAGGACACAACCACAGTTTGGCACTTTACAACCGCACCGCTGTGGCACCTGCTGTTCCCAGAGGTCTCCCATCACAGCACTAACCAGGCCCTGTCCTACTTAGCTTCAAAGGCCTGACAGGTTCTTGTTTTCACCTGCAGGTGGCGCCACAAGTATTGATCGTACCTAATGACATTTCATAGCAAACACTTAAAACTATGTTAAAAATGAAGTAAAACCAAATGTAATCTTTCTCTTTTTAGTATTAGTCTTCTTTGTTCCGTTCACCCAGAGTCAGGTTCACTTCCCACTCCCTAGACCCAGGGAGTCAAGGCCCGGGGGCACGATCCGGCCCGCAAATTAATTATATTGGCCCCTGGGATATTATTTGATTAGTATTAGAAAAAGCCGCACAGAAACATGGATTATTTATTAAATGTTCAGGATGTTTTTTCTTTGAAGGAAGGTCTTGGTTCAATAGTTTATATGCATCATCTTATTTTAATAAAAATTCAACCAGTACTCGCTGCTTGCAGCAGATTAGTTTTATTGGCCTCTAATGCATTTGACTTTGACTTCCCCCTCCCCAGACACTTGTCCCTAACTTGCTTGTCTTTTATAATTATTTCATGAGATTCATTACAGCCCTTTACAAACTCTGAATACAGCTTTTGAGGCAGCTGTGGCTGTTTTACGTAATAAACATGACTTATATGTGGCAGGGCCTAAACTCTGGAACGCTCTCCCTTACTCCATCAGAGCTGCCTCCTCTGTAGAGTTTTAAATCACAGCTAAAGACACATTTCTTTGCTTTGGCTTTTTAACACAAGCATTGTTGAAACATTTATGATGGTGTCCTGCATTTTATTTTTATGTTGTATGTTATTTGTGTGTTGTATTTTTACAATGTCTGGTAACCACTTTGTGACAGTCCTGTCTGTTTTTATAAATATATATAAATAAACTTGACCTTGACCTATATGTTACTGTCTGAGAGCAGGCAGGGGGCGGGGTCTGAGAGGCAGGGGGAGGGGCCTGGAGGGGCAGGGTCTGGGGGGGCAGGGGGCGGGGCCTGGTGGATAAACATGACTTGTACGTTACCGTCTGAATGCGGGCAGGGGGCGGAGTCTGGCCAGTGGATAAACATGACTTGTACGTTACCGTCTGAGGGCGGGCAGGGGGCGGAGTCTGGTCGGTTTGGCCTCTGCCTCTCGTTCAGCCTTCTCCATTACATCGATCTGGAGTTTGAGCTCTCGGAACCGGTCCAGGTCTTCCTCCTGCTCCTCTTCCTCATCCACCGAAGACTCCATCAGATCCAACTGCAGCCTCTCCACCAGCGGAGCGTCTACACAACCAGGACAGAACCAGGACAGAACCAGGACAGAACCAGGAGAGATCCAGGACAGAGCCAAGACAGGACCAGGACAGAACCAGGACAGAACCAGGACAGAGCCAGGACAGGACCAGGACAGGACCAGGACAGAACAGGGGAGAACCAGGACAGAGCCACGACAAAACCAGGACAGAGCCACGACAGAACCAGGACAGAGCCACGACAGAACCAGGACAGAACCAGGACCGAACCAGGACAGGACCAGGACAGAGCCACGACAAAACCAGGACAGAGTCACGACAGAACCAGGACACAACCAGGACCGAACCAGGACAGGACCAGGACAGAGCCACGACAGAACCAGGACAGAACCAGGACAGAACCAGGACAGAGCCATGACAGAACCAGGACAGAACCAGGACAGAACCAGGACAGAGCCATGACAGAACCAGGACAGAACCAGGACAGAGCCATGACAGAACCAGGACAAGACCAGGACAGAATTTTGATGGTCAAATTTTGAGATAATCTGTGAGTACAAAAGTACACAGAGTGAGTAAAAGTACAAAGTAAAGTAAAAAATCATCTTTTTTTTTTAAAACAAATCCACAAAAAAATGTGTTGGGGCAATTTCTCAGAATTCCATTGGTTTGAATGAGAGCAGTCAAAATGACGGCTCTGGGAGTTGTAGTGTAAAACTGCCCAAAGTAGAAGTGTCCTCTTAGATCGCACATAACACACCACAGGAAACACAAAAGCAGACAAAATAGTAATTAATATTAATTTGGTCAAAACCAATTAATTTCCATCAAAGGCAGAATCGTCGCGAGAGAAGAGGATGTTTAATAACCCGCACAAACACATGAGCGGTTTGGATAATATCAGGTCCAATCTCACACTAATGAGTCTGCTCTAGGTGCCAATTACAATCATTATCAGCCAGAACCATTTGTAAAACACATTCTTTGTCAGAGACGGCCACAGAACGAGCCGCTGATCCCGGTAATAGCTCCGTGTCAGCGCTGAGTAAATGCATTTGGCAGGATTACAGAAAGTGAAAAACAGAGGTGCTGTTTCACCTTTAGCGAGCGCCTTCGGGGGCTAATCTCTCCCGTGTTATCTCAGCTGAAAAGGGTTGATGACGTGGCTGTATGCAAATGAGGGCGTATGCAAATCCTGTTAAAGCTACATTTACAATATGAGCCAATTGAATAAAAGGCGGTTTCCCAGCGGAGCTCTGAGGCCTGTCTCTGTTAATGACCCGGACTGACGGCAGATTCATCATCTGATGGATCTCACTGTGCACTGCAAAAACACACGCTTTAGGTTCAATCTGAGGTAATGAGCTCCAGAGACCGCTCCCACACTCTGCTCTCACTCTGCAGTCTGCCACCATCAGGGCGGGGGTTCAGGTCCATCAGGGCGGGGGTTCAGGTCCATCAGGGCGGGGGTTCAGGTCCATCAGGGCGTGGGTTCAGGTCCATCAGGGCGGGGGTTCAGGTCCATCAGGGCGGGGGTTCAGGTCCATCAGGGCGGGGGTTCAGGTCCATCAGGGCCATCAGGGCAGGGGTTCAGGTCCATCAGGGCGGGGGTTCAGGTCCATCAGGGCGGGGGTTCAGGTCCATCAGGGCCATCAGGACAGGGGTTCAGGTCCATCAGGGCGGGGGTTCAGGTCCATCAGGGCGTGGGTTCAGGTCCATCAGGGCCATCAGGACAGGGGTTCAGGTCCATCAGGGCGGGGGTTCAGGTCCATCAGGGCGGGGGTTCAGGTCCATCAGGGCGTGGGTTCAGGTCCATCAGGGCGGGGGTTCAGGTCCATCAGGGCGTGGGTTCAGGTCCATCAGGGCCATCAGGGCAGGGGTTCAGGTCCATCAGGGCGGGGGTTCAGGTCCATCAGGGCCATCAGGGCAGGGGTTCAGGTCCATCAGGGCGGGGGTTCAGGTCCATCAGGGCGTGGGTTCAGGTCCATCAGGGCCATCAGGGCGGGGGTTCAGGTCCATCAGGGCGGGGGTTCAGGTCCCTCAGGGCCATCAGGGCAGGGGTTCAGGTCCATCAGGGCGGGGGTTCAGGTCCATCAGGGCGGGGGTTCAGGTCCATCAGGGCGGGGGTTCAGGTCCATCAGGGCGGGAGTTCAGGTCCATCAGGGCCATCAGGGCGGGGGTTCAGGTCCATCAGGGCGGGGGTTCAGGTCCATCAGGGCCATCAGGGCGGGGGTTCAGGTCCATCAGGGCGGGGGTTCAGGTCCATCAGGGCCATCAGGGCGGGGGTTCAGGTCCATCAGGGCGGGGGTTCAGGGCCACATCCAGCTTCCTCCCTCCTCAGTTCGTCTTATAAACAGCTGGTGTGGAGACCTGTTCTTATGTTGTATTGTGCTCTTTTACTGTGTTTATATTCAGATCTTGTGTTTGTGTCTTTGTGTGTTTTTACCCCCACTGCTGCTCTGTCTGTAAATGAAGTTCCTCACGGATTGATAAAGTTATTTGAATTGAATTGAAGCCCATAGAGTATTAAGGATGCTCGGCCTCAGTATCTTCTGACACCAGTAAAGAAACCAAAAGAGCACATTTTCTCCATTAATCACAGACTTCTTGGAAAATGGGTCCAATTGTGTTATTTTTGTTAAGCCATATTGACTGTTATTTACTCTGCAATAACTACAGAACAATGTTGAAAAAGCTAAAACATGATTATCAGCCTGTGAATGTACCATTAGGGCATTTTGGCACATCTGAAAGACCTGGAAATGCAATAAAAACCTGGTGTTATTGATTGGGCAGATATTATTTACCTCTGCTCAGGGGGTAAACCAGAGTTGACTATGACTCAGAAAGTTAGGAACAAAAATGTCATCTTGATGCTAATCTTTTTGAGAGAAATGTGCTTTTCTGGTTATTCTATGTTTAGCAGGATATATGTTTTAAGGGCTTTGTTTTTGGCCAGATCAGACATGGAAATCTCTTTTTTAATTAGATTTTATTGTTAATTTGGTTGGCACACTACATTAATGAACACATCACTCACCCTGAACTATTGTACATGTTTTTAGTGGCAGCAGGGGAAACCGGAGCACCTGGAGGAAACCTACGCAGACACCGGGAGGACATGGGATCCGTGTCGCCCAATGGGATTTTCATAGGTTTGTGCATTCATAGTGTTTCAATGAGCTTTCTAGACTAGTACTGACTCAAACCCAGATTTAAAGTAAGATCATTTAGTGGGAATCAATCAAAGCAAAGCGTTAAATGTGACTAATTTAGTAAACAAGAGAGATCGTGATTAGCCTGGTTCACATACGTCTGGTCTCGTATGAAATACCAGCTGAAATAATATCAGACTGTACAGAGATCTGTGTTGAGAGAAACCCTTCAGGGACAGAAGCATGTGGATGTCCAGGACTGTCAGCCCCTTCTTACAAACCACTGGCCCTTTCCCAGGCTTCTAACCAAACAGAGACAAAAGTAACTGAGTACTTTCATTCTTTTGAGGCTGAAAACGTAAATGTTGGGGTTTTCACTTTCACACCAAGTGAAAGGATTATTCTTCCAGTATATCATTTTTATAACTGCTTCTTATTCTGCTAAAGTCAGGGGTTACTAAAGTCTTGCTTCTTTATTTTGCTAAAGCTGGAGGTTTCAGACTTTTTCCTTATTATGCTAAAGACTTCATACTGCTTTGAGTTAGAAATTTTATTTTATGTACTGTTCTGTACCTTGTGACGCAACACTGACATTCCCCCCACAGTGGGACAGGTCTTAATCTCTCTCTTAATCTTAACAGGTCGAACTTTAATGAATGTATTTTTTGCAGCGATCCTTCTGCCTCTGAAGCCATTACCGGGCGAGGAGCATGTGGAGGCTCCGGGCGGCTGCTTCTGGGTTAGTGCGGAGGTTATCGATCATTTCAGGCTGAAAATATTACGGACCTGCAGCCGGAGCAACGAGACGAGCAACGATACGAGCGGTTGCCATGGTAACAGAAGTCAACCTGGCGGACGGGCACCGGGGCACGAGGGAGCTATTTTTGTGTGCCCTATCTCTGACACGGGAGGCAGATGGGTGGATGGATGTGCGTTTGAGAGGAGGCAGGCGGAGGCGCGGCTGTGCGGTGCACATGGGGAATGCGCGGTCACCTGGCGGCCTCATGGGGGCGCTGACGGGGCGCTGGGCCAGAGCCGTTCTCAGGAACTGGAGGATGCCGTAGACGCCGCGGTGCAGGACGTCGGTCGGAGGGAAGCGGAGCGGGCAGTCGCGCAGGTTGAGGCCGCTCAGGCTCAGCACGTTCCCTGAGAGAAGCAGAGGCCAGGTTATTTGTGTAGCAGGCTCCTTTGTAGGCTTTGGATGATTCAAAGTAGAAGAGAAAATAGGGTCTAAAAGAGTCTAAATGAGACAGGGCTGGTCAAGTCATGACTGGGACAGAGGAGCACAGGGACTGGCCTACTGCTGGGACTCTGAGGAGCACAGGGACTGGCCTCCTGCTGGGATTCTGAGGAGCACAGGGACTGGCCTCCTGCTGGGATTCTGAGGAGCACAGGGACTGGCCTCCTGCTGGGACTCTGAGGAGCACAGGGACTGGCCTTCTGCTTGGACTCTGAGGAGCACAGGGACTGGCCTCCTGCTGGGACTCTGAGGAGCACAGGGACTGGACTCCTGCTGGGACTCTGAGGAGCACAGGGACTGGACTCCTGCTGGGACTCTGAGGAGCACAGGGACTGGACTCCTGCTGGGACTCTGAGGAGCACAGGGACTGGCCTCCTGCTGGGACTCTGAGGAGCACAGGGACTGGCCTCCTGCTGGGATTCTGAGGAGCACAGGGACTGGCCTCCTGCTGGGATTCTGAGGAGCACAGGGACTGGCCTCCTGCTGGGACTCTGAGGAGCACAGGGACTGGACTCCTGCTGGGACTCTGAGGAGCACAGGGACTGGCCTTCTGCTTGGACTCTGAGGAGCACAGGGACTGGCCTCCTGCTGGGACTCTGAGGAGCACAGGGACTGGCCTCCTGCTGGTCCCAGAGTCAGAGCTCATTTGTTCCTCATTGTGAAAGAAGGGTACCATGTTAGAGATTAAAATATGAAATGGCACTGTAGAGAAACTATCTATTGTTACTTTAGTTTAAAATATGAAGAGACAACTTGCATTTGACATTTTTACAAAAGTACAATTTACTAGAAATTAAACTCACCAAGCTCCAGAGGCAGCTCTTCGATAGGATTCCCTTCTAAAAGCAAAGTTCTTAAACACCTAAAAAGAAAAAGAAAGTATTCAGAGCAGAAACTTTAGAGGAGAAAACATTTTTTTTTTCACGGCGTGGATTATGTGGTATTTTGTACTTGTGCTGTAGCCTGGGCTAGCCTAGCCGTGGCTGCTGCTGTCTCTCCTTCGTTCAGACACGCTCTCTACGTTCTCGGCTAGGCTAAAACAGTCCTCCTCAGTTTAGCAGATGGTCAGGAAGGAAAGACTCAGGGAAGGCTAACCCTCTGAGACTGTCAGTCAGGCTGCGTAGGGAGCCCCCTGTTGGAGAAGTATGGTAACAGCACTATCCTCTCCTCCTTCCTACTTTATCTGTTTAGCATTTTTAGGATTTTGATTGTAGTTTGTTCATTGCTATTCACTCGCTGTACTTTAGGTTTTCTTTTGATGTCAGTGCTCAGTTAGTTTGGTTTTAGTTTGACTTGCGGTCTTGTTGATGGTCTGCCCGCCCTGATGTGTGTCTGTGCCTGTGTGTGTCTATATGTACCTGTGTGTCTGTATCTATATGTACCTGTGTCTGTGTGTGTCTTTATGTACCTGTGTGTCTGTGTCTATATGTACCTGTGTCTGTGTGTGTCTATATGTACCTGTGTCTGTGTGTGTCTTTATGTACCTGTGTGTCTGTGTCTATATGTACCTGTGTCTGTGTGTGTCTATATGTACCTGTGTCTATATGTACCTGTGTCTCTGTCTATATGTACCTGTGTCTCTGTGTCTATATGTACCTGTGTCTGTGTCTATATGTACCTGTGTCTCTGTGTCTATATGTACCTGTGTCTCTGTGTCTATATGTACCTGTGTCTCTGTGTCTATATGTACCTGTGTCTCTCTGTGTCTATATGTACCTGTGTCTCTGTGTCTATATGTACCTGTGTGTCTGTGTCTATATGTACCTGTGTCTCTGTGTCTATATGTACCTGTGTCTCTGTGTCTATATGTACCTGTGTCTCTGTGTCTATATGTACCTGTGTCTCTGTGTCTATATGTACCTGTGTCTCTCTGTGTCTATATGTACCTGTGTCTCTGTGTCTATATGTACCTGTGTCTCTGTGTCTATATGTACCTGTGTCTCTCTGTGTCTATATGTACCTGTGTCTCTGTGTCTATATGTACCTGTGTGTCTGTGTCTATATGTACCTGTGTCTGTGTGTGTCTATATGTACCTGTGTCTATATGTACCTGTGTCTCTGTCTATATGTACCTGTGTCTCTGTGTCTATATGTACCTGTGTCTATATGTACCTGTGTCTGTGTCTATATGTACCTGTGTCTCTGTGTCTATATGTACCTGTGTCTGTGTCTATATGTACCTGTGTCTCTCTGTGTCTATATGTACCTGTGTCTCTCTGTGTCTATATGTACCTGTGTCTCTGTGTCTATATGTACCTGTGTCTATATGTACCTGTGTTTCTGTGTCTATATGTACCTGTGTCTCTGTGTCTATACGTACCTGTGTCTCTGTGTCTATATGTACCCGTGTCTCTGTGTCTATATGTACCTGTCTCTCTGTGTCTATATGTACCTATGTCTCTCTGTGTCTATATGTACCTATGTCTCTGTGTCTATATGTACCTGTGTCTCTGTGTCTATATGTACCTGTGTCTCTGTATTTATATGTACCTGTGTCTCTCTGTGTCTATATGTACCTGTGTCTCTGTGTCTATATGTACCTGTGTCTATATGTACCTGTGTCTATATGTACCTGTGTCTATATGTACCTGTGTCTCTGTGTCTATATGTACCTATGTCTGTGTCTTAATGTACCTGTGTCTCTGTGTCTATATGTACCTGTGTCTCTGTGTACCTGTGTCTCTGTGTCTTTATGTACCTGTGTCTCTGTGTCTATATGTACCTGTGTCTCTGTGTCTATATGTACCTGTGTCTGTGTGTCTATATGTACCTGTGTCTCTGTGTGTCTATATGTACCTGTGTCTCTGTGTGTCTATATGTACCTGTGTCTCTGTGTGTCTATATGTACCTGTGTCTCTGTGTGTCTATATGTACCTGTGTCTCTGTGTCTATATGTACCTGTGTCTCTGTGTCTATATGTACCTGTGTCTCTGTGTCTATATGTACCTGTGTCTCTCTGTGTCTATATGTACCTGTGTCTCTGTGTGTCTATATGTACCTGTGTCTCTGTGTGTCTATATGTACCTGTGTCTCTGTGTCTATATGTACCTGTGTCTCTGTGTCTATATGTACCTGTGTCTCTCTGTGTCTATATGTACCTGTGTCTCTGTGTGTCTATATGTACCTGTGTCTCTGTGTGTCTATATGTACCTGTGTCTCTGTGTCTATATGTACCTGTGTCTCTGTGTCTATATGTACCTGTGTCTCTGTGTCTATATGTACCTGTGTCTCTGTGTCTATATGTACCTATGTCTGTGTCTTAATGTACCTGTGTCTCTGTGTCTATATGTACCTGTGTCTCTGTGTCTCTGTGTACCTGTGTCTCTGTGTCTTTATGTACCTGTGTCTCTGTGTCTATATGTACCTGTGTCTCTGTGTCTATATGTACCTGTGTCTCTGTGTGTCTATATGTACCTGTGTCTCTGTGTCTATACGTACCTGTGTCTCTGTGTCTATATGTACCTGTGTCTGTGTGTCTATATGTACCTGTGTCTGTGTGTCTATATGTACCTGTGTCTGTGTGTCTATATGTACCTGTGTCTCTGTGTGTCTATATGTACCTGTGTCTCTGTATCTATATGTACCTGCGTCTCTGTGTCTATATGTACCTGTGTCTCTGTGTGTCTATATGTACCTGTGTCTGTGTGTCTATATGTACCTGTGTCTCTGTATCTATATGTACCTGTGTCTCTCTGTGTCTATATGTACCTGTGTCTCTGTGTGTCTATATGTACCTGTGTCTGTGTGTCTATATGTACCTGTGTCTCTGTATCTATATGTACCTGTGTCTCTCTGTGTCTATATGTACCTGTGTCTCTCTGTGTCTATATGTACCTGTGTCTCTGTGTCTATATGTACCTGTGTCTGTGTGTCTATATGTACCTGTGTCTGTGTGTCTATATGTACCTGTGTCTCTGTGTCTATATGTACCTGTGTCTCTGTGTCTATATGTACCTGTGTCTGTGTCTATATGTACCTGTGTCTCTCTGTGTCTATATGTACATGTGTCTCTGTGTCTATATGTACCGGTGTCTCTGTGTCTATATGAACCTGTGTCTATATGTACCTGTGTCTCTGTGTCTATATGTACCTGTGTCTGTGTGTCTATATGTACCTGTGTCTCTCTGTGTCTATATGTACCTGTGTCTATATGTACCTGTGTCTCTGTGTCTATATGTACCTGTGTCTCTCTGTGTCTATATGTACCTGTGTCTCTGTGTGTCTATATGTACCTGTGTCTCTGTGTGTCTCTATGTCTGTATGTACCTGTGTCTCTGTGTCAATATGTACCTGTGTCTCTGTGTCTATATGTACCTGTGTCTCTGTGTCTATATGTACCTATGTCTCTGTGTCTTAATGTACCTGTGTCTCTGTGTCTATATGTACCTGTGTCTCTGTGTACCTGTGTCTCTGTGTCTATATGTACCTGTGTCTCTGTGTCTATATGTACCTGTGTACCTGTGTCTATATGTACCTGTGTCTCTGTGTCTCTATGAACCTGTGTCTCTGTGTCTATATGTACCTGTGTCTATATGTACCTGTGTCTCTGTGTCTATATGTACCTGTGTCTCTGTGTCTCTGTGTACCTGTGTCTCTGTGTCTCTATGTACCTGTGTCTCTGTGTCTATATGTACCTGTGTCTATATGTACCTGTGTCTCTGTGTCTATATGTACCTGTGTCTGTGTCTATATGTACCTGTGTCTCTGTGTCTATATGTACCTGTGTCTCTCTGTGTCTATATGTACCTGTGTCTCTGTGTCTATATGTACCTGTGTCTATATGTACCTGTGTCTGTGTCTATATGTACCTGTGTCTCTGTGTCTATATGTACCTGTGTCTCTGTGTCTATACGTACCTGTGTCTCTGTGTCTATATGTACCTGTGTCTCTGTGTCTATATGTACCTGTCTCTCTGTGTCTATATGTACCTGTGTCTATATGTACCTGTGTCTCTGTGTCTATATGTACCTATGTCTGTGTCTTAATGTACCTGTGTCTCTGTGTCTATATGTACCTGTGTCTCTGTGTACCTGTGTCTCTGTGTCTTTATGTACCTGTGTCTCTGTGTCTATATGTACCTGTGTCTCTGTGTCTATATGTACCTGTGTCTCTGTGTGTCTATATGTACCTGTGTCTCTGTGTGTCTATATGTACCTGTGTCTCTGTGTGTCTATATGTACCTGTGTCTCTGTGTGTCTATATGTAACTGTGTCTCTGTGTCTATATGTACCTGTGTCTCTGTGTCTATATGTACCTGTGTCTCTCTGTGTCTATATGTACCTGTGTCTCTGTGTCTATATGTACCTGTGTCTCTGTGTGTCTATATGTACCTGTGTCTCTGTGTCTATATGTACCTGTGTCTCTGTGTCTATATGTACCTGTGTCTCTGTGTCTATATGTACCTATGTCTGTGTCTTAATGTACCTGTGTCTCTATGTCTATATGTACCTGTGTCTCTGTGTCTCTGTGTACCTGTGTCTCTGTGTCTATATGTACCTGTGTCTCTGTGTCTTTATGTACCTGTGTCTCTGTGTCTATATGTACCTGTGTCTCTGTGTCTATATGTACCTGTGTCTCTGTGTGTCTATATGTACCTGTGTCTGTGTTTATACGTACCTGTGTCTCTGTGTCTATATTTACCTGTGTCTGTGTGTCTATATGTACCTGTGTCTGTGTGTCTATATGTACCTGTGTCTGTGTGTCTATATGTACCTGTGTCTCTGTGTGTCTATATGTACCTGTGTCTCTGTATCTATATGTACCTGCGTCTCTGTGTCTATATGAATCTGTGTCTCTGTGTCTATATGTACCTGTGTCTCTGTGTCTATATGTACCTGTGTCTGTGTGTCTATATGTACCTGT